ATACAGGGCTGGTTTGGGACAAAAAATTGGCCCGGGCTTTTTGACTAGCCATTATAGGAAAAATCATAAAGCCTTTGAATGAAAACAAACGCTGTTGTGACAGTGATGTACACTGTTTTGATGGTATATATGTATCAATCTATCAATCGTTTGTTGTAAGATTCAGATAATTATTTTTTAAAAGTGAGACATTTTAAATGAGAATAAGAAAGAAAAGTATTTCTTTGTGCCCCTCTCTCCCTGTTAATGCCCTAATTGCCCCCCCCCCCGGCAAAACTTTGCTAGATCCGGCCCTGCACAGTTACCAGCTGTCAGCTACATAAAAAAGGATCCTGGTGTATTTGTTTCTCAGAAACAGAGATCATCTTCATGTTTCCCTCTCACCAAATATCCAAACCGACATCATGACCAGCAGGTTTACAGCTGTGGCTCCAGCAAACATCAGCTGATAATAGAAATTAATATTAAATAAACTCTAACAACAGCTGATCAAGCTTAAACGTGCTGCTGTTGTTTAACGCGACATCGGCTGGTTTCCTCTTTCTGGCGCAAAGTGGGCGATAAACAAACAAGAGAGAAAAGCCGATCAGCTGATCATTGATCAGTTTTCATGATTGAAGTAGAAACAGGAGAGGGAGGGGAGAGAATGAGAGAAGAAGAGGCAGCTGTGCAGCTCCACCTTTGTGTCTTTTTCATTGTAGCTGAAGTACCAGACAAACTGTGTTCCTTTTCACCTCAATACGAAACGCGTAATATTTTCTCTGAATACGAGACGATTCTGTTTTTTACGGGACGGTTGGCAACTCTAATAATTAACCTTATGAACAAAATAAAGTTCAACGGTTCATCATTAACTTCATAGCACCCACCCAGCTGTATAGAAACTCCATCATGCTAGCTAGTACGCAGTACGGAAAAAGTCAGCACAACGAAAATAAACTCCACCTAAACTTGGTTTATATCTGACCCAGATAGACTGCAGGTCATAACTTCTTACCTGAAGTTCAGTTCACACTCGGACCGATGGCCGCCTCGGGTCTCTCATCCACCTGCTGGCCTCCACCACTTGCTAATGTTACTGAATCTGTGGAAGCTCCGCGATAGCCACCACCCGAAGTAACGAATAACGACCATATCTAAATCCCAATAACGATTAACACGTTCCTGATTTTGGCATAATAACTAGTTACCGTGCTCGTTACCACAATAATAACGTAGTTACTGTAACGCATTACTTAATAACGCGTTAGTCCCGTGCTGCAATGAGTTTTATATTAAAAAACAATGCCATACTGTCCACCCTCACTCTGTCCCTTAAACAGTAAGTGATTCTTCATTGTTGGCTAGCAGCATTGAAATGGCACAATCTACCTGTTAGCCACAAGTACTGTGTGGAGAAGAGCCTGTTTAAGTCAGATGCTTTTGTAGTTCACCAGACCGACCACAGATCCCAGTGGCACAATCAGCTGGCCACTAACTATAAAGAGATCGCTTCTCAGACAAATATATTTTCTCACTTTGCATCCATCCTTTAAACTGCTTCCATATTGCTGCCAGGGTAGGATATTATCCTTGGAAGCATGTTTGATTTCCTTCTTGTCCATGCCCCTTTAAAAAGACTGACCCTAAATGACACAACTGTTGCCTGCAGGTGATTTATGCTGTAAGGTAAAGGCCCTACAATAATACAGACAAAAACAGTCAACAATCATATGACACCCTATAAGCAAGCTTTGGTGACTGTAGGAAGGAAAAACTCCAGGGGAACAGGAAGAAGCTCCGGCAGAACCAGGCCATTTGGGGCAATCTGCTGCCAAAAGTTGGGGATCATGGGAGGAAGACAGAACAAAGACAGTGCGGAAGAGAGCTTGAGATGAATAATAATTAATGATTAAATGTAGAGTGGTGTAAAAACACATATTGAGTGAAAAAGGTAAGAGAGAAACACTCTTGGGAAGCCTCCGCAGCCTACACCTATTGCAACATAACTTAGTAATGTATCTTTATCAAAAAGGAAACTTAAAACCTAATCTTAAAATACTCAGAATACTGATGCTAAGACTGATGGGGAATACTTTTCCACAGAATAACTTTTTTTTTAAATTCCCATCCATCCCATCCATTTCTTTTTTTCCCCCACTTACCAGTCATGACAACAGCAGGCTAATCATAGAAGCTGAGACTTCCTTCCTCCTACACATCTCCAGGTTATCTGGGGAAATGGTGACACATTCCCATCCCAGCTAAGAGATCTAATCTCTCTAGTGAATCCTGGGTCTACCTCAGGGTTTCCTTCCGGTAGGATACCTAAACCCTCAACGAGAATGTACCCTGGAGGAATAACATGCAGACTCCCACCTAAAAACCAGCAGTTTCCGACTTTGATTGATAACATAAGAAAAAAAAACCCCTATGTGACAGTGGAGAGCATATTTAATTACTTATTACATTTTTTTTATAGATGTTCCTTCAAGATAAATCACAACCATGGATGAAAAATGGGAAAGGGGGAAAACACTTCCAGTAGGGAGCTGGTTGCCAATCTTTCCTTGATAACCAAAAACTATTTGAACCTGCTCCCAACTGTTAACAGATTGTGGTGCCAGTCATGGATTTGCATTCATTTTTTACAGTGTAGATTTGATTTTTTTTTCATTCCTTTTCTTTCTCTGTTACTTTCTCTATGTTTGTCTTGTTTAACTTTGGATGCCATTTTTTCAGTGCATACATTTCCTCTATTACAATGTTGCTAACACCTGTTTTGCACTTCTTTGGCTTTTTGGGGGTTTTTTTATCTTCAAAAGTTTGTGCACATATAGTATGCTAAGTACAGTGTTATAGTACACAATATATAATTTGTTATCACCATTAAAATTTATTGTTAAAGAGAAGCTAAAATTGTAGACAAAGAGAAAAATGTAAACATATTAATTAAAGCAAACACACACAAATGTAGACAAACGATATGCAAATGTTCGCACATACTACAGTTGATGGTGAAAGAAAGGCAGGAAATTAGGGAGAAGCAGCTGTCGGGCCATTAGCATAGCATCGTGTGAACACCTGAGTCCTGAGCTGGATGACAGCCAGAAAGACAAGCCTAATAAAGAATTCTCCAAAATGAGATAATCATTACACACATCTGGACATTTTTTAATTCATTTCAGGCAACCAGATTACACTAACAGTACATGCTGTTGTTGTTGAACATGGAGCTTGCTTTTTTTGCTGTTGTTCTTTTTAATAAGGCAAGTGTGTGTGTGTGTGTGTGTGTGTGTGTGTGTGTGTGTGTGTGTGTGTGTGTGTGTGTGTGTGTGTGTGTGTGTGTGTGTGTGTGTGAGATAGATTATTTTGGAGACATAGTACAATACATATGTTTCCACAGGTACACTATGGGATGTCAGTTTCCCTGTGGGGCACACAAACATTTCCCCAAAGAGAGACTAAGTTACACAGTCTGAGTAAGAGAAGTTGGAAAAACTTAAGAACACATGTAGCTCTAGCTTATCGGCAGGTTAGAATAGCTTTCAGTTAAGATTACAGTTACAGCATGGTGACATCTAGGTTAGAAGAGAATGATTGATGCCAAGGCAGCTTTAATATGACATGAGTTATTGTTAATCTCTGGCTCTTTTCCACAGTGTGTCTTTTGTCCCATCTTCCTCCCCTCACCCCCACCATGCCGGTAGATGTCTGCCCCTCCCTGGTTCTGTCAGAGGTTTCTTCTTGTAAAAGGGGAGTTTTTCCTTCCCACTGTCACCAAGTGCTTGCTCAGAATTGGTTGTCTGATTGTTGGAGTTTCTTCTGTAGTATATAAATAAAGAGGGCATGTCCACACTAATATGTTTTTGTTTGAAATCGCATCTTTTTCTCTACGTCTTGGCCTTCCGTCCACACAGACGGCGTTTTTGGTCAAGGAAAATGCAGCGCATTGAAAACGCTCTCCAAAGTGGATACATTTGAAAACGCCGTTTTCGTGTCGCAGTGTGGACAGCAACCCCGGAGCCTTTTCGAAAACGATGATGCATTTTAGTCATGTGATGCAGTCATGAGACCAATTAAACTAAGATAGCGGAGGGCATTATACAGCAGTTGGTTTGTTTGCTCTCAATTTTGGCAGCCCTATTAAAGATTAATATCAGTCTGTACATGCTCCAGATAGCTTTTCTTCAAGTTCTTTAATTCTCACTCGCTTTTGCAACTTTGTACTTTTGTGTTACTCGCAGCAACAACTCCACTTCGTTCTTAGTCCATTTAAAACACTCTGTGCTTTTCCTCAAAGTTTTGCAGCAATGTTTCAAAGAGCCAGAAAGTAAATAAACAGCAGACAGAAATGAGGCAGGTCGAATCGTCTTGCGCTTCACGCATGCGCAGTACTGGAATGTAAACGTTTTCGGCTGTTTCAATGTGGACGCACAACTCTGTGAAATTGACTAAAACGATAATGTGGACGCGGAGTGTTTTCAGACGAAAACGCTGTTTTCAAATTTATCCGGGCTAGTGTGGACTTGGCTGCATTCGATTTGATTCTCCAACTCTGGTGTGATGGTAGAAGCACTGTGTTACATAAATTCTAGGAACATTTCATTATAGCATAAAGCTGATTAAAATTTGTGTTTATTTGTGGTAACCCTTCAATGTTTGGGCCATGAGCTTCTAGTTGGATGTGCTCAGAAAACAGCCAGTGATCTTGTTCCTTACCTCATGACGTAAATATTGCCATCGTATAATACAGAGTGACTGTTACATGGGACAAAATTCCCAGGGGTACAGTCATTTATCTGTCTGTCCTAAGCTCATTGTTACTGTGCTCACATGACTCTTAAGCTCCTTCACACTTATAATTTTATAATGATAAAAAACATGTTTTCTGGAACAATAACAGAAGACTTTAAGGCTGGAGAAAAACTAAAGCTACGAAGGAAACAAGTACAGAGCACGGATTCAGTTTATTTTTTGTACATCAGTGGTCTGACATGGGTACCCCTCCTTGCTTTTACCTGACAGTATGGCTTCCACCAAGTCACCCTCCTGGATCTGAGAAGCAGAGCGCAGTAGCTGCAGCACGTTGTCTGATGTAGGATCATGACGGAATAGGAGGATCTTCTCGTACATCCCATAGAAGCCGCACTCTGGTAACTAACAGAGACAGAAAGGCATATTATCTCAGCAAAATCTGTATTTCAAAAAAAGTTATGTTAGTTGTAACTACGTCTTTTTCATAATTGCTAATATGGGGATTTGTTGATCGTATAACCATTCTTTATCATAGTTTTGAGTAACTTTGTACTCATTGCATATCTGCATTTGGTCTAGTATGTCCACTTTTTCTCTTTATAACAGTTTTCTGTTATTTTCTCCTTATGGTCATTTCATGTGGGTATTTTGTGTCTCTGTACGAGCTTTTTATCTGTGCACAATTGGTTCCTGCACAAAGCTGTGAATCAGGACAATGTCATCAGTTGACTGCTCTGAAAATAAAAACATTTTACACACAGACTTTTAAAATAGCATGAGCCTGTCTTTCTACTGCGATCACGTCAAAGTAAATTCAAATTTGAGAGAGCTGATGAAAAGAGACAAAAAAATGAAGAGTAGTGACGCAGAGAAAGAGAAGAGCTTTGATCTCTATCAACAGATTAATAATAGACTGAGATTATCATCAGAAGGAGATGGACAGACCAATCTCACCAAATAAATTAACACAAATACAATGATGTTGTAAATTTGCAGAGACAGAACTCTATCAAAGATATTCATGTTCCTAATTGTGTTATGATGATATAATAACAAACAGCAGCCTGATAGTCCTCCTACTATTTGACAGTAAATTTGATTCAAATCTACTACTTTTAATTCAAACTGCTACATTTTTGACAGGCTTCCATTTCAGGAATACAAAATCTGTATTAAAGCTGCATATATTATATTATATCAACATCATCTATTACTGGAAAACAATGTTACTTTTATTTTGAAAGTTTAGTTTCTGCTAACTATCGTCTCTTTTACATATCATGTGACGTTGTGGTAGTGATGGATGGCATTCGGCTGTTTCCATTGTCAGATCAAACTCCAACTGCCTTAAAGTGCTATTCCCACTAACTGTACTGCTACCAGTTCTGCTGGAAACCATGCAGGCCATGAAATTGAAAAAATTAATAATAATAATAATTAATAATAAAATAAATAAAAAGGACCAAAGCAACGAGAGACTAGGGGCACAAATGTATGAGTAAGAGATGCAAAGTAACCACAGAGAAACACACAACAAAGTGGAATAGATATGAAACCCAACTCTAGAATCTGTAGCTGTTCTTTCTATTTCAGTCTTTGGTTCCTCTCTGGTGGGTGGGGGGCAATTCACAGGTCTGTGCCCAGGGACTATCTGTCTCATAATCACTGGATACAGAAGACGATAACACTGCAGGAGAAGTTTCAGATGTTTCACTTAAATCGCTAAAAGTGTTGGAGTTGCCAAAGTGCTAAAAGGTGTTAAAATCAGTAAGACTTCAAGCCTCGACTCTACATGGAGTTGTCACTTTAAAAACACAAACAGAAGATTAATTGCTCAAACTAGTCCCCACAAAGACAGGTGTATGTGAGCAAACGCACAAACGCAGCCGAGTGTAACCACAGGAAGTTAAAGGTGCAGTTCGCTGTTTGTTAAAGATCGATCAGGCACTGCTGAAAGGAGCAACACATTGACCAAGTGTAGAACACCACTGAGATTGTTATCGACCACAAAAACACACAAACACTCTTCCACGGTAGAAGAAGACACACACACCATAGCATACAATAGCATACATGAAAACAAAGATTTATATCAAACTTCTATTTTTTTTTTTACATACGTCACTTCCATTGCTACATATACAGTGGGGCAAAAAAGTATTTAGTCAGCCACCGATTGTGCAAGTTCCCCCACTTAAAATGATGACAGAGGTCAGTAATTTGCATCAGAGGTACACTTCAACTGTGAGAGACAGAATGTGGAAAAAAAATCCATGAATCCACATGGTAGGATTTGTAAAGAATTTATTCGTAAATCAGGGTGGAAAATAAGTATTTGGTCAATAACAAAAATACAACTCAATACTTTGTAACATAACCTTTGTTGGCAATAACAGAGGTCAAATGTTTACTATAGGTCTTTACCAGGTTTGCACACACAGTAGCTGGTATTTTGGCCCATTCCTCCATGCAGATCTTCTCGAGAGCAGTGATGTTTTGGGGCTGTCGCCGAGCAACACGGACTTTCAACTCCCGCCACAGATTTTCTATGGGGTTGAGGTCTGGAGACTGGCTAGGCCACTCCAGGACTTTCAAATGCTTCTTACGGAGCCACTCCTTTGTTGCCCGGGCGGTGTGTTTTGGATCATTGTCATGTTGGAAGACCCAGCCTCGTTTCATCTTCAAAGTTCTCACTGATGGAAGGAGGTTTTGGCTCACAATCTCACGATACATGGCCCCATTCATTCTGTCCTTAACACGGATCAGTCGTCCTGTCCCCTTGGCAGAAAAACAGCTCCATAGCATGATGTTTCCACCCCCATGCTTCACAGTAGGTATGGTGTTCTTGGGATGCAACTCAGTATTCTTCTTCCTCCAAACACGACGAGTTGAGTTTATACCAAAAAGTTCTACTTTGGTTTCATCTGACCACATGACATTCTCCCAATCCTCTGCTGTATCATCCATGTGCTCTCTGGCAAACTTCAGACGGGCCTGGACATGCACTGGCTTCAGCAGCGGAACACGTCTGGCACTGCGGGATTTGATTCCCTGCCGTTGTAGTGTGTTACTGATGGTGACCTTTGTTACGTTGGTCCCAGCTCTCTGCAGGTCATTCACCAGGTCCCCCCGTGTGGTTCTGGGATCTTTGCTCACCGTTCTCATGATCATTTCGACCCCACGGGATGAGATCTTGTGTGGAGCCCCAGATTGAGGGAGATTATCAGTGGTCGTGTATGTCTTCCATTTTCTGATGATTGCTCCCACAGTTGATTTTTTCACACCAAGCTGCTTGCCTATTGTAGATTCACTCTTCCCAGTCTGGTGCAGGTCTACAATACTTTTCCTGGTGTCCTTCGAAAGCTCTTTGGTCTTGGCCATGGCGGAGTTTGGAGTCTGACTGTTTGAGGCTGTGGACAGGTGTCTTTTATACAGATGATGAGTTCAAACAGGTGCCATTCATACAGGTAACGAGTGGGGGACAGAAAAGCTTCTTAGAGAAGACGTTACAGGTCTGTGAGAGCCAGAGACTTTCCTTGTTTGAGGTGACCAAATACTTATTTTCCACCCTGATTTACGAATAAATTCTTTACAAATCCTACCATGTGAATTCATGGATTTTTTTTTCACATTCTGTCTCTCACAGTTGAAGTGTACCTCTGGTGCAAATTACTGACCTCTGTCATCATTTTAAGTGGGGGAACTTGCACAATCGGTGGCTGACTAAATACTTTTTTGCCCCACTGTATGTGGTCAGACCAAATCAAATTTTTTTAAGATACCACAGCACTGAAATGTGATTGAAAGCATCCATTTTTTCCAGTTATGTGGTTAGGAAGTCATTGTTTTCTTTCTTTCTCCTTATAAATTATAAAATTATGAATTCAGCATATGTATAAGAATTACCCACGAGTGCCATACACCTTGTAGTATTCATTTTCTTCTACTCTTGGATCTGTCTGGTAGTCAGAAAACTGAATATTTGATGTACGACGTGGAAGTTTTATTGGAGTAACCTACAGTTAGTGTGTCACTGCAGCTACAGCTATTTTTCTGCCTTTTCTTTCTGGCTCCTTCATGATCAGAAACTTGTCTGTGTGAGCAAATATCAGAGAAGGACAGACACTGTATATTTGTGTGTTTTTTGTGCACTAGATTTTGAGTAGCAGTGAGTAAGGATTTGGCAATGGTATGAACTCCTTATCCATATTTAAGTTTTGGGAGTGAAAATAAAGTCACACAGCGGCACTACTACCTTGGTAAGTAATGTTAGTTTTTATTTTTTCTAAATAAGCTCTAAAAATACTGGAATGTTGTGTCCCCCTGATTTTACTCTGAAATTTCCACCTATGGTGGAGGCTATGGGAGTACAGAGAAGTTACTGTCATTCCCAGAAAAACACTCTGATATGGACATGGTCATGCGCTCAGGCGCTGCTGTTAACATGAGCCTCAGTCTATAGAGTGACTCAGAGTGTGTCAAAACAATATCGGCGCACCATTACAGCAGCAGCAGCGGTCAGAATGAATAAAGGTGGGGAGGATTCCCTGCATTCATATCATTTACACCAAATTATCCAGTTTTGATGAGCCACTGCCCTCAGTATCTTCTTCTTGGCCGAGTGTGTTCTTCTTCTACAGCAGTCCATCTTTAGTGTCCCTTGTACCTGAATTACTGTTAACATTCTAGTCATTATTGTTTGACTTCTGCCATCAACAAGATATTTTGCCCACATTAGCATCACTCCTTGAAGCTGACATGCAAGAATTAGCAGTTTCTGTCACCCTAAATGATGAATTTCAAGGACAGCAGTAGGAGAGAGAAGGGTGAGGAGAGGAAACAGAGAGGAAAGAAGTTGAAAATGAGGTACATAAGAGCAAGAACATAATAGAACAAAAAAGTGGAGACGCTTTATCATACTGCCCTGAACCTTCCTTTCGATCAGCACGCTTGCATCATTATGTGTGTGTGGTGTCACCATAGCAGCGGTGTCGCCGTTGTTGTCATGGCAACAGGAATTCAGGGCCGATTCCTTTCCATCTCCTCCAGCTCTCTTTATCCAATTCAGCTCAGTTCAAGACTTCCTGTGCTGAATATGTTGAACTACAGCATCGTGGATGCTGGAGCCTGACTGACTGTTCTCTTAACATCTTGTTGTCCAACAAATATCTCTAAAGCAAAATAAAATTTCTTAAATTAAGAACATGTGATAAAGGTCCTGATGTCACTTCCTCTATAATTTTCGCCATGAGCTTATTTTATTTCCCCAAATTTTTAAGGCATGTATTCTCATTTTTCTAATCTCTTTACTCCAGACCATGCCCTGAATCATTGTTCCAATTTTTAGGACTACTGATGTATTGGAGTTAAAGTACTCCTCACTATCAGATTCTGAAGTAGAA